TGTTTCCACCCTCACCAAATGCCTGTTCTTTTGACACTGACCACATGGCCAGCCCTATTACTCTTGCCAGTTCCCTATGAGCCATCTACACTGCAAGCCTGTCAATCACTCATAGACTTTATTCCCATGTTTCTGGTACAACTTCTGAGAGGTATCTTGAAAATCATTCCTCTTCCCCAGCAAAACTCTCTTACCTAGGGAATTTGGATCCCATGTCCACTTAGAAAAACTTGAAACTTCCTCAGGTTTATTTTTATCTGGTGGCCCCAGCTGCCCTTTTCCACTCTTTCTCCTTATATTTTCTACTCAGCGTCTCCTCCCTGCTGTCAGGAGCCCAGCTCTTCTTTCTCCTTTGGTTCCCTCAAACCTGTTGAAAGCAGAGAGTCTGTGCACATGTCTCTGTTATGTGTTTGTTTGTATTTATGTGTGCATATGTTTTGGGGGAAGGGTAAGGAAAAGAAGGAAGAGCTTTTTTTCTAGGCAGACAGGAAAATAAAGATAATTGATGATATCAATATTTGGCTTCTCCACCACATGCTAATAGGCTGCCTCTCTTCTGACTCTCTGTATTCATTTGAACAGCTTTGAAATCACAGGACACTGAGGAGAAATAAGGAAATGATACACTATAGATGGTGATCAGGGAATACTCCTCCACGTGGCCATGCTAAACTATTTCCAGAGCTCAGATAAGCTGAGAAAAAAGTACACCTATTCCAATGACTACACCTCTTATCCAGCAGAGATTTGCTCTTTTTCTATCTGACCACACCTTATTCTCCCCCCATTTTTCTGCCAATACATTTCTTTCTCCAACTCTTTGATTTTTGTGAGCTTCTCTGTCCTCAGATTTTCTTGTTTTTGCGTTGCTTTTTCTCTTTTTGTCAATGATGCTGTTAGTCTCTGTTCTCCCATATTTCTATGTTCATTCTTTTTTTCTCTCTCCATCTTTCTGGGTATTTTTTATACCAGGTAGCTTGTTCCATTTTACTCTCTCTTTCTCTTTGAGATTTCCATTTTTCCCTCTCCATCTATCTATTTATATATATATATATATATCTCAACCAATATATATACACATATATGTGTGTATGTATGTATATATGTTACATATCACAGATACACACACACACAGTTGTTGTTAAATAAACTTTCTTGTATCGAGCACGGCTATTGTCCCCTGTGAATACTCAGCATTCCTTGTGCCTCCTCTTTGGACTTTGATTCAAGTGACACAGCTCTTATCCTCCTGTTACCTAAAACAGTCACCCAAGACACCTGGGTTGCTAGTACCTGTTGTTCCTTTAGTTTTTTGACCCTCATACGTTTGCACATGTATTTCTTCATACCAAAATGGGAATAGCAAGAGTTAGCCTGCCTAAGTCTTAAGAATTTTGCCAAAGCATGTTGAAACAACACAATATAATCCAATTACATGGTAAAGAACATCTGTCAAAAACTATACTAAAGTTTGAGAGTTGTTAATCTGAAGCTTTTATTTCTGTCTATAATTACATAGCAGGAACAGTTGACATTAGAGGCTTTTACAATCACAAATGACATTAATGTCAACCAATATATCACTATAAAAATGTAAAATCTTAGTAGGCACAACAGTAGGTATTTTAAAAGATACTAGAATTTTGCTATTTATTTCTTCAACAACAGCAATATATAATTACATACATTTAGTCAACAGGACTCATCTTGTTAAACATGAGTTTATAATAATTTCCTGCCTTTCATTTTCTAAAATGCCAAGGAAGAGTTCCCAGGATTAACTGGATGCAAGGTAGTCAAGGTGCTCAGAATAAAATGCATCTGGAAACAGTAGCTTTTAATTCAGATTCCTGACATCCTGCAGGCCAAGGCTTGTCATCCTAATCTTCTTTACCTGACCCTCTTCTTAGGGCTGAGCTCGAGGTTTCCTGAGGCTCTTCTTCGTTATTCAGCTCTGGAAAAGAATCACTGCTGAACCCTGCAGAAAGAAATAACATTCTGTAATAGTCTTAGTCTATATCTTAGGAACCAATCCAACAGGGAATTTTTTTCTTTTTTAACTTTTTGTCTTTTTTCGTGACCGGCAACAGATCGCAACCCTCAGTGTCACGCCCGTACCGG